ATTTGAGTCGTCTGATGAGTCTGATGAAGAGGATGTTGCAACTGATCGTACAGAAAGTCGTGACACAGGTGATACAATTTGGGAACGGCTTGCAAGGCACTATCCTTCGATTGCAGATATGTCCTTTGGGGAGTTTGCATCTGTAGATGACGATCTATTCACAGAGAGGCAACTGACCGCCGAGGATGCTACAAGAGAAGCACTTGAGGCAGCTAAGTCAACAGAAGACACAGAGTCTAGGGCCGATTGTAGTGAGGTAGAATCCGAAGAAGACGAGGTCGAGATAGTAGAACCGCCCAAAATACTTAGTTCCCTACAAGCGACAGAACATGTAAGAAACTTAAGGGATTTCGTTTTGTCGTCAACAGAGTCAGGTGAAAAAGAGCATGAGTTTTTGTTATCGTTAAGCAGAATGGAAGAGACCTTTACTTTGTTAAGCGTAAATAGAAAGCGCCAAACTCTAATCGAAGAATTTGTATAAACTGGAYTGAAAATGCGTTATTATACAGTACATGTACTGTACCTGTAATAGTTTTGTTGACATTGCTTTAGTTACTGTACATTCTTTGACGGTCGTGGATATTCAAATTAAACTGGTTGAACTATTTGTGAAGAATTTGTTTACTGTATTTAATRTTTACAAGTAAAAATACATTACAATGCCGGACTTCGATTTAACGATATTTTTACATAAATATCGTAAAATCGAGAACCTCCGTGCAACGATACCTCGATTTAACGATATGATTTTTTTCCCCCAAGGCGTATCGTAAAATCCAGGTTCCACTGTATTGACAGTGAAGACATCCAATATTCCTCCTCAGATATCATTGGAAGCGGTACCTATGGTACAGTATATAGGGGTAAGTGGGCCGACACAGAAGTCGCGATTAAGCAAGTAAAAATGCGAAATGCAGCTCGTCTTYGTTCYGTCGTTAACAAAGAGGCAAAGGTACAAAGCTTAGCTCGGCACCCGAACAKTGTACAAATGATGGCAATTTCCTATACAAAGAACTCTATTTATTTAGTACCCGAGCTTGTAAATGGCCGAAACCTAGAGGATCTCTTATTTAGTGACGATGACGCGTTTTCTTCAAGTATTGACAAGTTATCTGTTGCAAAGCAACTCTCACAATCAGTGGCATACTTACACAATTTACGTCCACCGATTGTGCCCAGAGATATCAAGCCTGCCAATGTACTAGTGGACGACCACACCCATGTCACCAAACTTTGCGATATGGGATTAAGCAAGCTGAAATSTTCTAATTCTGTAAGTATGACCAAAGTAGGAACTGYGACTGGCACGTCAGCATATATGGCACCTGAATGTTTAATASATAACAAAACAGCCACGACTGCCAGTGATGTCTGGTCCTTGGCCTGCACGCTTCTGGAACTTTTTACCGAAAAAGAGTGCTGGGAGATTGAAGAGAACGACTGCACTGATGCGCAGAAGTTCATTACCGACTGTATGAGGAAAGGGGAATCTCCTCCTTCATTGTGCTACCTTCTTGGCGCCGTCGGTGATTCGCAAAGAGGCCTGGAGGTAATAATCTGTCAGTGTTTTAATTACAGAATGGACGAAAGACCAAAGGCCCTTGGCATTGTTGAGGAACTGACAACTTAATTCTGGAAGTTTACATTCAAACAAGAAATATGACATATTAGAACGGGTATATTAGAACTTGAATAGGTATTTCCGATTTCCTATTTAAATTTGTTACGTTTTTATCCTGCCGTTGTTTATTGCTCGATTTTTTAAAGTTTCAGCTTTCACTAGTTAAGGTTAAGCTAAGCTAAGGTTGTCCTTACCCTGCGAGGCAGTATCACTTAGTGCCGTATTGACTGGCTAATGAACTGTCTTTTGATTATAAAAGATTATTATAATGAACCTTTTAAAATACAAATAAGTAGAAGCTTGTAACTAACGTTTATTGGCCAAAAAAGATCGTTGATTAGAATTCATTAGTTACCTTTTATTATTGCTTTTGACTTTTTTCACAATCGTAAACTTCCAACTACTAGTAATCATTTGTCTCACAATAATCCATATTTGATAGGAAATTTCTCGAGCGGTTGATTAAGGAAAAGAAATTCTCATCCGGGGCGAAATTCAGCTGTTGGAAGATAACTTAATAGCAGATTCATGCTGTCGTGAATCGACACTGAGACGCTCTTTGAGTGTGTTTTTTTAATACTACTCTTTCGTCAACGTGAATTTGTGAAAAGGAAAATAGGCTCTTCTCGTAGAATAGTGTGTTAATCTTAGGTAACTCCTCTTATGCCTTTGACTATATTCTTGTTAAAGCTCGAAATCTATTAGACCTATATTTCATCCACTACCTGTTGTTTTGCTAAACTATTTGTCTCACTTAAATTGGTATGTGACGTCATAGACGGACTTAAAAATAAGATGAAAGTTCACGGAAATGGCCTTAAATATTGACTGCAGTCAGTGTTATGTGTTTAGAGTTATATCATTTGCGATAGACTAGCACTGTCAAACGTTACATTTAGTTACTTATCAGATTTTTGGAAGTTCAAAGCTATACTTTACTGCCTATCGGTTATATAAGACTGGCATTTTAATCAGCCTGATAGTTGTGTTTTAGTCCGACTTATTAAAGAGGCAAATAATTTTTGGAGTAGATGTACAAGTAGGTACAAAATGTAACATGGCTTATGTAATCTATTTT